TTATCACAGTCATAATACACTAATGTATAGTTATTAAATTGTATAGTAAATTTTTATTGTATTTGAATACTTAAACCTTATTGAATGTTAACCAAAGGAAAATAAATAAATAAATACATAAAAGTTAATTATTTTGGAGGATTGAGTATTGGGAGAGGTTGGTTATTGATGGGGTGCAATACCAAATAGAAGGAATAATATGGACCAGGAAGATTTTTCTAATTCTGATTTCAACCCAGTACTTAATACAGAAGTGCATATGAGGTTCAGATAGTTCTCAGTGGTGATATATTAAGATCCTTAGGTTGCAGTTTGGAATCCAACTGCGAGATTTGGAGACCGGCTTTTGGACGAGACCGTTTAAACCGGTCTTGTCACAGAAGGTGCTGGCACGAGAAAGATCTCTCACTGCTCAGTGGACATAATTGATGCAACGACTGTACAACCGAAAAAGAAACTCACAATAAACTCTGCACATCCTTACAAGATGACTCAAATAAATAACAATTCGAAGGAGCGGGTCAATGTTCTAAACGATAAGGAACAACAGCAGCCGCCCACTCAGTCATATGGCTCCCATCCACACAAACACCCCCGTCTTCTATGCCAGAAACGGTAAGCAGATCTACTGATGCTAGAGGGGAGGATACTTTTGAGGGTGTTACCTACAACGGAACGCACGCTAATATATATCCGGAATAGGCCCGCGGCCCACACAGCTCGGCATGATCAACTTTCTTTAAGACAGAGGCATATCCGTTTCCCTGTGTTAATTGCGATGTTGCAATCGTATCTGAACACAAACTCAAGTCAAATAATGCTACATATTTAGACTCAATCCATTGTAATTATTTAAGTTGTGTTCGTACAGAATCCATTGTTGAAAATACCCAATTTTCACGTTATTTAGGTAAAGGTGGAGTTGGAATTATGAATTAAAAAAATCTAAAACAGTCTGTATGTGAGAAACAGAAATAGACTCATCACGTATAATAGGATTAGAAATCAAAGAATCATGCGAACGTTCCCTGTATATCCTTGGTGCTTATCTTCCGGCAGATAATGTTATCCAGTCCTATGCTAATCAGTTAAGCTTACTTTAAGATCTTGAAGTTCACTTCTCATCCATAGAAGATGTAGTTATTGGGGGTGACTTCAATGCTAGCTGTTATGACACAGCCTCTGGTCATGTTAATGTGTACAAATCTAGTTTGCTCAGTTTATAACTTCATAGGATGCTCCCGCGTCGATTTCAACGCATCTGGTTCACAATTTATTTTTCTGCAAACGAAGTCTATACTTGATAATATATTTTGTAGCAATTCACTTTGCGAGCATGGTAAAACGTATCATGTGTTTGAGGTAGGCTTAATTAGCTGTACATCTGACCACCTTCCTGTTTCCATGGTTCTTGATCATAATGTTAGTAATCGTACTTAAGATAAAGGATTTCAATGTTTACCAGCATGGCATAAAACTGACTCTTGTAAAATCTAATCATATCAAGATTTTGTTTCAAAAGAATCTAGTATATTGCTACAAAGAAACCTTGATTGTGTTAATGATACTGATGTTTTTTTTTTTTGTTTTGAACTTAACTTTCTGTTAGGCAATGCTGCATCCCAGTATATCCCTGTCTAAATATAAACCATATCTAAAACCGGAATGGACACCAAAAGTAAAACAACCCCATGATGCAGAACGACAAAAAAGGCAGGATATGGTTAAGTGAAGGTCGTTCAAGCGGTATGTGTCACGAATTCTATCGAAACTATAAGCGCGCCAAAAGGGACTTTCGTAAAGAGCTTCAATCTGCGCAATACGATTTCTTGACAAGTGTATTTAAGGACATCGATGAAGCTTCTTAGTGTGATGTGCGACTCTTTTGGAAGCTCATTAAACGACAAAGACCTCGTAGCTCTCAAATATATCCTGAAATAGAACTTGGAGATGTTACCTATTCAAACCCTGAGGATATAGCTAACTGCTTTGCGCATCACTTCGAACATATCTACAATCCGCAGGATAATGAAACCTTCAGCTCTGACTTCTTCCAATTTATCGAAAATTCTTACTACGATCTGAAATCAACTGCCAAAATTCTGACTGATAAATCCTTTCCAGGTCACCAACGACGAAATTTCCGCAATCATTAGTGAGTTAAAACGCAGAAAAGCTCCCGGGTAGACAAAATCCACAACGAACATATTGTCTACGGAGGCTCAGGACTCAAACTGTGTATACAACATCTTTTTAACTCTATTATTAAAATAGTCCAAATCTCAGATTCCTGGAAAAAAGACATTATTGTCCCTTTACACACTATACACAAGGGAAGCAACAAAGTACGGAAATTACCTAACAGTCATAGACCAATACCCTAACAAAAAATACTATAGTTAACTATAGTTTACTATAGATAACTTTAGTAAATCAAAGTGTCCAAGTTATCAATATAGTAAATCAAAGTTTTCAAAGTGATCACTATAGTGTCAAAGTGATCACTATAGTAAATCAAAGTTTTCAAAGTTATCACTATAGTAAATTAAATTTTTCACTATAGTAAATCAAAGTTTTCATAGTTATCAATTTAGTTAATCAAAGTATCAAAGTTATCACTATACTAAATCAAAGTGTCAAAGTTATCACTATAGTAAATCAAAGTTTTCTTAGTGTCAAAGTTATCACTATAGTTAACTAAAGTAAACTATAGTATTTTTTTTGTTAGGGTAACTTTACTTCCGTGAATACTTAAGATTTTCGAGAAACTGCTACTACTCAGGATTAAAACACATGTTCTTTCCACTATTGATTTTCCAAACACACAGCAACAAGGATTCCAGCAAAACGTCGGCTGCCTCACTTCATCTTTCAACCTTCAAGAAACCATATATCACAATATAGAACTCGGTAGTCCGGTATACGTCGCTTTCCTGGATAACCAGAAAGCGTTCGACACAGTGTGGAGACACGGCCTTATGTTTAAGCTACACCGACTGGGAGTTGCTGGTCGTCTTCGGCCTCTTATGGACGACTGTCATACAAATACCCCCTGCTCTATCGCAGTAAACTACGTAAATTCGGACTAGTTTCCTGTGTCTCAAGGTGTACGTCAAGGTGGGATACTTTCGACATTCCTTTACTTAGTTTTTATCAACTACCTGCTTCTTGAAATTCAAGGTCAGTGTCCCAGTATGGGCATCTACAACATTACAAGTTCCAATCCTGCCCTCGCGGATGACAATTCCTGCATCGGGCTATCATCCTGCAGCAATCCAAAACATTCTTACCACAGCATATGACTATTCGAGCGTTATTCGATTTTCCAAAACATCCACCAACAATCACGATTCTTTAATATGGTTTCTTGGCAGAGACCCTGTCTATTTATCTAAAACGTACAACCATCTAGAATTCTTCAATCCAAACTTACCCATACAGAGAAAATTGCCAATGCGTGCAGGAAAGTTCGACAAGCTTATTTTGCCCTCAAAATACAAGAACACTTAACCCAGTTACCAAATTGCGGCTATACACCAGAATTGTTCTCCTTTCCACTTTGTACGGATGTGAGCGTTGGTGCAATTTAGATCAACGAGATCTTGAAACCCTTAACACCTTTCAACACTTTATATGCAAACATGCAATTCGTCTGCCAAAAGACACTAAATCTGATATTTGTGAATTCTTACTTGGACTTCTCCCGATTTCATCTGAAATTGACAAAGGAAAACTGCAATTTTTCGGCCGTTTATGCGAACTGTACACCAAAACTCTCACCACACAGATATTTCTCCACCGGTTTTTTTCTTACATGCAGTCTCCCGAACATAAAAATTATGGTTTTATCGACGATGCCATGGGTCTCTTGTTAAAGTATAACCTTCATCAACACCTGTTAATATACTTACAAGATGGTTACTTTCCTCTAAAGTACCTGTGGAAAAGGTGTGTCAAAGCAGCTGTCACGAATTTATACCTAGAAGCAAGACGTCAACGGATGTTTTCAGATCTTTCCTTTCTTCTTTTCCATACAATAAATGCAGGGAGACCGCCGCAAACTATCTGGAAAATTCCAGGCAACATCCATAAAATAGAAATCTGTAAATTTATTGCCAACTATGGACTCTTCCAGACTCTCCTCCAAAACCTTGTCTTCTCTGCAAAGAAAACTTCAGAAACATTTTTGAGCATATTTTTACAACATGTCTTGGCACAACCGCCTTCCGCGAGGCATGATGGGACACAATGATTGATGACTTGGACATTATACTAAGTGCCAAACTCTCCGGTCTCTGTCCACGTGACCTATATCTTTTTCTGCTAGGCACTAGATCTTTCTCAGGCATTCTATCTCATTTTGATAAGTCATGTTTGCAAATTTTCGGTTCCTCAGGCATACACCAGCATGGTTTAACAGACAACTGCGTTGTATACATTTATAGTCTGCCATATTTATTCCTGATGTTAAAAAGATCTGTTTTGTACATATATGTTATACGTAATTTGTACATCGCTCCTGTCAGCAACCTTGTTCTTACCTTTGTGCATCGCTCCTGTCAGCAACCCTGTTCTTACTTTTGTGCATCGCTCCTGTCAGCAACCTTGTTCTTACCTGTTGTAATTTAATTAATACATGTAATTTTCTCCTGTTTTCCCCCTTATGACGAGATAGATAGATAGATAGATAGATAATGTTCCCATAATTTGATGTATTCTTATTCATGCAATCTCCTATAGGAGGAAATAAAGATAGAATGAATGAATGAGCCTTCCACCGGAAAATGCTGAAAGGGGTGAAAAATTCAAGAAAGCAAACACACAAACAAATGCATACTAAAAAGCAAATTAAATGTACAAATAGTTCGGACATTCTTTGAAAATTGACCTGATTCAAAGCAAAATGATGCAGATATTAAAAAAAATGTCTTTTGATGCCCAGCATTAAAATTGTTGGTATTTGATTATAATTCACTTTACAAATCCACATTTTTTTCCAGCGGTTGCTGGAATTGTGTGTATGTCTGACGCGCGTTGCAGAAATGTGATGCAGGTTGCGAATGACGAGGAAGCTTACTGTCAGTACAATGTCTTTCACGTTGGTTGCTGCCATGTCAGAAAAAGTATGGAGCCTGACAATCAAGATCATATTAATTGCCAGTGATTTTTATGTCATCACCTGAGTAAACTCAGGCGACCCATTGCTATCTGTTTTTGTCCGTCGTCGTGCGATGTACGTTAACATTTGAACATTTTTAGCTTCTACTCCGAAACCGCTCAATTATTTTAAACCAATTTTGGCATATAGCATCTATGGGTGAAAGGAAACAGAATTTGTGAATTTCATGGTCCCTGTCCCTCTGGGGCCTGAGGGATGGGACCAAAACCACTAAAATTAATGCAATCTTTAAAAATTTTCTTCTTTACGCCTGGACATCAAGCAGTCAAATTGTTGGCATAATTATAATAAGGATTGAGTCCTCTACCAAAATTGGGAAATTCATGGCCCCAGGGCCAGGTGTTCTGGTGCTAGGGTAGGGCTCTGTTGAATATATAGTGAAAATGCATTATTTCTTTAAAAATCGTTTTCCTTGCTCCTGGGTATTATGCAAACAAACTAAATGCATAGTAATGTAAGCAAAGGTTGCCTCTTCCAAATTTGTAAATTTCATGGCCCCTTGGTCAGGGTTTCTGGTGTTAGGGCGGAGCTCTATTGATTATTTCTTGAAAATGCATTTATTCTTTGAAAATCTTCTCTGCTCCTGGGTATTAAGCCGATGTACCAAGTACATAGTTATGACAAAGAAATGTGCCTCTTCCAAAATTCTGAATTTCTTGGCCCCTGGGTGAGGGGCTCTGGTTTTAGGGTGGGGCCCTATTGGTCATATAGTGAAAATGCATGAACTCTTTAAAAATCTGCTTTTTTCCCCCTGTATAAAGAAGATAAACTAAGTGCATGGGGGTGGGCCAGTGCTGTATTAATTATATTGTGATTATATTGTGAAAGGGCATTATTTCTTTGTAAATCTTCTTCTCTGCTCCTAGGTATTTAGCGGATAAACCAAGTATATAATTATGATGACAAAGGGCACCTCTTCCTAAATTGTTTTTTGACCCCTTGGTCAGGGGTTCTGGTGTTAGGGAGGGGCTCTATTGATCATATAGTGAAAATGCACAAATTCTTTATAATTCTTCTCTCCCCCTTAATATAGGGTGAGGGGTTCAGCGGGGGTGGGGGCTTTATTGATTTTATAATGAAAGTGCATTATTTCTTTAAAGATCTTCTCTGCTCCTAGTTATGATGAGCAAAAATTATCCAAAATTATGAATATCTTGGCCCTGGGTCAAGGGTTCTGGTGTTAGGGTGGGACATTAATTCTTTAAAAATCTTCTCTCTCCCTGTATATAAAGCAGATAAACTAATTGCATGGTTATGATGATCAATGGTGCCTCTTACAAGATTGTGAAATTTCTGGCCCAAGGGTGAGAGGTTCAACGGCAAAGGGGGAGGGCTCGATTGATTATATAGTGGAAGTGCATTATTTCTTTGAAAACCTTCATCTCCGCTCCTAGGTATTAAGAAGGTAAAAAAAAATATAGTTGTGATGAGCAAGGGTGCCTCTTCCAAAATTGTGAAAGCGGTCCCATGGTCAGGGATTCTGGTGTTACATTGTAGGACGGGGCTCGATTGATTATACAGTGAACGTGCATTATTTTTTGGAATCTACTTCTCTGTCCCTGGCTATTTAGCAGAAAAACCAAGTATATAGTTATGATGAGCAAGGGTAACTCTTGCAAAATTGTGATTATCTTGGCCCCATGATCAGAGGTTTCGGTATAAGGGTGCCGCTGTATTGAATCTTTAGTGAAAATGGATTATTTCCATGAAAATCTTCTCTGCTCCTGGGCATCTAGGTGGCAAATAGAGTATAGGGTTGTAAGAAGCAGGGGTGTTTTTACCATATTTTGAAATTGTGTACCCTTTGGTCAATTTATTAATTTCTTCTGAAAGAAGTCATTCCCCTTTGCTATTCACCTATATATAACAGTTAATTACTGTAAATAATGCAACTTAAAGGGTCAATTGAATAACAGAAATTTTATATTTAGTACAAAAGGACTTTCATAGTTTTTAATGGTCAGGAAAAGTTTTAAATAATTTTAAATAATAGATTAAATGAAAATGGGACAAAAATACCATATCTCTGTACAATAAATAATCTTTGAAGACCAAGAGAGGCCAATGCGAGGGCGAATTAAATGTGTTAACTGATAGTGCTCTAGCACTATTGTTTTGTTTAGTCCTCATAAGGATAGTGATACATTTGGGGAAAGTGCAGGCAAATAAATAGATCAACTTTTAAAATTTGTTATTGAGTACTAAATTAATATTTTGTTTATCCCTGATAATCCTATTTCTCTTGTTTTGGGGCAACATAGCTTTATTTATCAACCTATTTGTTTTTATCTATGGATCGTTACATTATACTCAGGTGACCGTTAAGGCCCTTGGGCCTCTTGTTAAATTTGTTTTTATTCCCTTTTATCTCTAACTGTCTTTTACAAAACATTTACCATTTCTTATGCAAAATTTATACACGAATAACAACTTTTGCAAAAGAATTATCAAAATGTTTATAAAGAACACATATCTGTAAAAATTATGGAATCAGTTTTATTTTAAACTAAATAAATAAAAATAAAACACTTATATACCGATAATTCGGGAGAATTTTTTTTTACTCTGAATGTTATAAATATTAGACCTAACTGAAATCGGAACTTATTTTTTCTTTTACTAGGATTAATTATCGAGAGAGAGAGAGATTAGATATATAAAACATAACCTGACAATGATCCTCATATCCTCAAATTATGCATGTCTTACTCAACCTTCGAGCATGTTTACTTAAATTGTCAATTAAGAGGCGATAAAACAAATGTAATTTATTGCTATCTGTCATTAGAGCCTGCACATTGGACACAGTGGAGTACTTGGGGGTCTTGTAGCGTGACTTGTGGATCAGGAGGAACAAGGACCTCTACAAGAAGTTGTACGGGATCAGGGTCATGTCAGGGTTCGTCTTCGAGGACAGAAGCTTGTAGTCAAACACGACATTGCCCAAGTAAATAGTTATGTCATGACAATTTTCGAATTTGAGATAATATTTTTTTTACATTCATTATTTGTATTCGATTAACAAAATTTTGAATAGAAAAAACAAATTTAAGAATTCAGTTTATATATTTGTTAACATTTTTAAGTTGATGTTATTTTGAGTGACTGGAGTAGTTGGACGTCCTGTAGTCAGACTTGTGGGTGGGGACAACAAAAAAGATCACGTGTCTGTTATCAACCACAGAATGGAGGTTCACAATGCAACGGAGATTTGAAAGACAGCAAATTTTGTCATGATAGATACTGTCCAGGTAAATATTTATTGGATCATATTTGAATCATATCTTAAAGGGTCATCTCATGAATATATACGTTTTCTTACAACAAGGACTGATCTGCTACCCCACACCTTCACAGACCTTTATTTATCAGATAACTGGGAAAGTTGGAGAACGAAAAATCCAAAGAAAATCAATTCATTTACATTTTGAGGATTTCTGGATTAATTCAGTGTGTATTTGAAATAATATTTAAGTTGATGGTTTTCTGAGTGACTGGAGTGGTTGGACGTCCTGTAGTCAGACTTGTGGGTGGGGCCAACAGACAAGGTCACGTGTCTGTCATCAACCACAGTATGGAGGTTCACATTGCATAGGTGATTTGACAGACGAAAAAGCATGTCATGTTGAACCCTGTCAAGGTAAATACCTATTGCATTTTTTTTTCAAACCTTTTTTGAAAAGCTGAATTCCTACTGCAGGAAAATAAGTTTTTTTCATAGTTTACTTCTGCTTCATAGAGTTTTAACGGAGTATATTTATAGAATTATATGCATCATATTAGATTCAAATTAAGTATTAAACAAGTAATGTTAAAGTCAATTTATTTCCAGGACCATTTTTTTTTCTAATGAAAATATTTGTTCTTTTCTTTTATAATGATGTTCAAGTGGTGATTACTCATGCGACGAATAAAAATATTTGAAAATATATCTTTCATTGATAAGGTATTTAGAACGAATCAGATGCTTATAGGCATAAATAAGACCAAACAAGGGACACAATTTTTTCACATAAATTTTCTTTTGAAACTCTAAGACTGCGTATTGTCAACTTAATGAGCTAGGGCCGTCAGGTTGTAGATTATTTAAAAAGAGAAAAAAATGTACAAATTTTAAGATTTAATTTGACTTTAGTTAATATGTGTGGTTATTGTATTGTATTGTAATATATTGTATGTGCAGATAAGAATCAATCAATTTAAAAGAAAGTCAGAAATTCAAGGTCATATTTGATATTTAAAAGATTTACCATTATAACAACAGCCCATCATTGAGTACACCTTTCCGTTGTTAACGAGAAGAATACTGGATTAGGAAACTAGGCACATCCTTTCTATATGGTAGCAAATGACAATGTCGATAGCTTTGGGAATCTTTCAAGTCAAGAGTGTAGCAATGTGAATGTCATGCGACTTTTTAACATTACATAGACTGTGAGAGGCGTAACCGTAGTCATGCACATCAGGCTTACAAGAAACCTATTATACACTATCTATGTCTCTTTTGATTCACTACTACCTTACATAAACAAGCAGTTAGTTATTTGTCACATTTGCTCAAAACTTTACTCTGTCCCTTTGAAAGTTTTAAATGGTCTTTTTGTATAGGACAAGGAACGTCCATATTTGGATTCTTCGACTCCAGAATGCAGACTTAGATCTCTGATGTGGGTATTGCAAATCATGGGCCTTTTAAACCGCCACGTTTTACGAAAGAGAATACTGCTCGAACAACCCTTTTGTTCCTTAAACAAAGAAATTGATGTAGTAATAGAGAGATGTTTCTGAATATGAATCGAATCCGAATCTGAAAATGAATCTGAAACGAATCTGAATCGGAGAGATTGCGATCCCGATTTGAAAATCGGAAAATAATAAGTTACGATGACGAGGAATATATCGAATTTAAATATGAAAAGTGTTTGATCCTCCTCTTTCTGAATT